GACTCCGCAGCTCTGCTCCTTGGCCCCCAGACCACCTGTCTCCCTCTAGGTGATCTGCAGAAGAGGTACCACTGCTGTGCAGGGAGAGCAGGAGACAGAGCCTGGGGCTCAGAGTTGGTTCTGGGTGCGATTCATTTTCTGCAGCTTCTCTGAATCTGTCGCGAGGCCTTTGCAAGCTCCCTTGCTGGGTCAGGGACTGCCATCAGCAGCCCAACCACCGCTGTGCTGTGGAGACACATCAGCTGTGGGGGGCAAGTCCCGGCTCCCAGAATTATTTGCTGTGTGACTTTGCACAACTTGCCTCCCTCTGAACTTCAGTGTCCTCAACCGTTAAAAGAAGATTAAAGTCTTCGTAAGTGGTTAAGGCAGTAACAGATGGAAAATGTCACTGGATAAATTACTACTGATTTTTTTTTTTGAGACAGGGTCTTGCTCTGTCGCTAAGGCTAGAGTGTAGTGGCGTCATCATAGCTCACTACAACCTCAAACTCCTGGGCTCAAGTGATCTTCTAGTCCTCAGCTGGGACTACAGGCATGTGCCACCAAACCTGGCTAATTTTTCTATTTTTTGTAGAGACGGGGTCTCGCTCTTGCTCAGGCTGCTGTCCTGGTCTCCAGCAATCCTCCCATTTTGGCCTCCCAGAATGCTAGCATTGCAGGTGTGAGCCACTGCGCCTGGCCTGATATTATTTTTTAAAAGGACTTTTTATTTTAAAATAAAATGCAAATATAGAAAGGCACATAAAACTAGCCTGGAACCTACCAGGTTATTATGAGGTGAGCCACCTGTAATCACCAGCCAGACCAAGAAATAGAAGGGCCCCTAATGTCCCACCCAAATCACAGCCTGAGTTTTATAGTATTTCCTTGTGTTTCCTTATAGTTTTATCACCCGAATGTATGGCTTTTAAATGTCCACTGATGACTCTCCCGTCCCTTTTGTTTCCTTACAGTTTATGTTTGGAAGAAGCTGGGGCACTTGTTGTGAGGCGTTTCGCACAGCCTGGATCCTCACTGCTATTTCGCACACGTGCCCGCCTCTCTTCGGTTCCCTCCCTCTTCCTCCTGCTTGGATTTGGAGGAACATAGATCTGAGTTGCAATCCTGAGTCCACCAATTCCTGTGTGACCTTAGACAAGTCACTGAACCTCTCTGAACCTCTTTCCTCAACTGGCAAATGGGAAGGTGACTTACGTGATCCCTAAGCAAGGGCCTTCCAGCTTTCGCAGTCCCCTGTCTCAAGCATCAGGCTTCTGACCTGTAGTTTCTTCTCAAACACAACTTCACAGGGCAAGAAGATCCCTGGGTAAGAGTCAGAGAGACCTGGCCTTGGAATCCCGTTTCCCCTGGAACTAGCTGTATGAACTTGGGCAAGTTACTTAACCTCTCTGAGTTCCTATTTCTTCATCTGTAGAATGGGGATCATGCTACCCAACCCATACAGCTGGGATGAGGCTTACACGAGATCATGTACGTAAAGCATTTAGTGCCTGGCATCTAGTATGTGCTACATAAATGTTGGCTGTTATTAAGATCAGCTATTATTTGTTGACTGCTTTATTGACTGCCTGCTCTGTGCCAGGCACTGTGTCAAGTGTCTTAAGATGTACTAATTCATTTAATTCCCACAACCATGCCATGAGGTAGCTCCACTTTACAGATGAGGAAACTGAGGCACAGAAAGCTTAAGTAACTTGCCGGCAGTCACACGGCTAGCAAGCCGTGGAGCTAGGCCCTGCACCTAGGCTGTCTGGATCCAGAGCCAAGCTACGCTGCCTCAAATCCTACTACTCTCTGGAAGAATGTCTCCTTCCCTGCCCAAGTCCAGAGAGAATTCCAGTAGGGGTGAGGATGGGGCAGTTGCTGAATCCAGTGGGGTAGAACTCTGCCCCTCCCCCTGCCCACCGGCAACTGAGATGTCTTAGCTTAAAGTGAGAAAATGCCCAGGGCATTCATTTGGGCCACGCTAATTATTTCCTGCCCCCACCCCTTAACATTTTTACCTGCTGGAAACCCACCAACGTGAAACTGGGAACAGCCTTCTTCAATGAGGACAGCAGAGAGGGTCCCCCCGGGTGGAGTGGCCCGGGGCGTTGCTGTGTGTTTGCTACCTGGATGTGTGAACGTGTCAGGTAGGAGATGGCGGTTTTGTCCGTGTGGCTGGGCTGCGGGGCCATCCCCGATGTCTGTCTCTGCGGAGAGGCAGCGTCGGGGTGCACGTCCCACTTCTGCCACCCACTGGCTGGGTGACCCCGGGCAAATGACTCACTTCTGTGTGTCTCCATTTCTTCATGCATATAAAAATGGGTTTGGTGATAAGAATAGGGTTGTTCTGAAGATTAAATGAGGTCATCCACGTAAAATGGTTTGGAGAGAGCTGCACAACTGTTCACACTCCTTGGTTCCTAAGTTCCAAGGCTATTTGTGTTGGCTTCCCTGAGCTGCAGCGGAGCCCACTGTCACAAAAGCTCTAAGTTCAGTTTCTCCCGTGGAGTGTTCAAAGCCCAGAGAAGGCTAGAGACTTGCCTCAGGACACCCAGCATACTGGAGGCAGAAATGGGGCTACCCTGAGCCAGTCTTTCCTGTCCTCCTGGCATGGTGGGAAAGCCCTGTCGGGGTCAGGAACTGCAGCTGCCACCCCTCAGCGCTCTGCCCTCCCGCCTTCTGCTAGCACCCAGTAGGGAGCCGCCTGGGCTCTGGAAGCCGCTCCAGCAGGAAGGTGTGTGCTTTGGCAGCCAGCACTGTCTAGGCTGCCGGGCTCAGGGCTGGGTGGCTGCCCGGGGCAGGAATTCCACTTGTCTGGGGAGGACCCGGCTTGGGAAGCCCAATCCCAGCCCCCAGCGGTGCACCACCAGCTGCCAGGCCAGCCTGCCAGCCCACCTCTGCCCCCAGCCTGCGCTCAGCCTGGGCATTCTCAGAGGTCGCTAGAAGAGGAGTCTGTGGACTTGTGTTTCTGTATATGACACCTTTCTTGTCGTAAGTCTACCCTCTCCTAGGACAAAAGTAATTCTTCGTATTTGTGGGGAAAACAAGTAATAAAGAGAAGAAAACTGAACTCTGTCTTAACCCAGAAGTTCAGCAACTCAGACACCGACAGGGCTTTACCAGCTACACGTGTCCAGACATCAGCATCTCACACATGCACCTGGACACACACACATGTGACACACGAGCACTCATACACGCATGCATATAAGCGTACTCACACACACAAAACACACAAGCGCATCCATACTCACACAAGTCCATACGTGAGTATGCACACACACACACACACACACACACACACACACACACTCTTACAGAGCACATACTGCACGTCAGCCACTGTTCCAAGCGCTCCACAAATGTTACTTCATTTCGTCCTCGTGACAGTGCTATGAGGCAGGTACCGTTATTTCTCCCATTCTACAGATGAAGCACAAATGGTTGAGTAACTTGCCCAACACGCAGTTAATGAGGGAGTGGAATAATGGGGATTTTTACCCAGATCTGCGGGCTTGATGAATGATGTGACTGGTGCTGTGTTTTAGTGGCATCACGATGCATACTGCTGCCCGCCCCGCTCCAGGCTTTTATCCCTGTGCAGCTCTATTTGGTTTGGCTGGAAAAATGGCATCGATGTTACTCACTAACCGGGCCCCGGGGGCGGACTCGGATTTGAATCCCGGCTCTATTGCAGACTGGCTGGCTTTGTGCTGGGCTTGTTCCTTCACCTCTCTGGGGTTCAGTTTCTTCATCTGTAAAATGGGCAGCTATTGCACCTGCTCGGGAAGGCTGGCTGAGCCTGTGAGTGAAGCGCTCGGCCCTGGGCCTAGCACATAGTAGGTGCCCATTAGGCAGGGCCGTATCCACTGTCTGCTCTGAGGCTGGATGCCAGGTGGCCTTAATATGCTGGGGTGTGGAAGGCAGAGAGAAGCCTCTGGGCCTGGGGTCTCCCGGGGATGAGTATTTTTTCCTGGAATGCCCGCCCTGTTGCCACATCCCCGTGCTGGGCCTGCGCCTTCCAGGTGGAAGCAGGAGCGGCAGGATGGGAGAGGGCGGGGAGCAGAGCCCAGAAAGCGGCAGGCGGAGCCTCCCTGTCCAAGTCTGGCCTGGCTGGAAGGGCAGGGGGCTGTGGGGACGTCAGATGCCATCAGCTCCCAGGGGACCGTTAAGGTCAAAGTCGCTGTGCAGCCAGGCAGGCCAGGGTACCGGCAGAGACCCCCCTGCCTCCTCCGCCTGGGCTGCCCGTCCTGGATACGCACCCCGGGGGGGCCTGCTGCCTGGTCTCCCAGGCTCTCTTGTCGTCCTTCTCCTTCTCTAACTGTGTTTCTCTCTCCTTCTTCTCTGTTATATCTTTTCTCCCTTTGTGTCTGCCTCTCTCTCCTCTATTTGTCTCTCCCATGTTCTCTTTCTGTCCCCCCATAACCGTCTCTCTCTTTCTATTTCTCTTTCATTCCTTTTCTCTGTGTCTCTTTTTTCCCGTTGCCTTTCTGGTCACTCTTTTTTCTCTGCCTCTTTCATTCTCTGCCATCCAGTTCCCTCTGTGTCTCACTCTCAACCCCAAAGTTGCAGCCACTCAGGGACGAGAGGGCTGGGCAATATGCCTTGGGGAAGGTTGGCCCTGCCCTCCGAGGGCATCATCTGAGCCCACACAAGTGGGACCGGTGAAGAGGATGTCTGGCTGGAGAGGACTCCTGTCTGTCTCCTGGGCAGGGGGGACAGAACCCTGGCTTTGAAGTGGTGGCCCCATCTCAACCCAGAGCTGGTCTGGATTAGCCACCGTCTGGGCATTTCTTCCTGTTGGCCAACCTGCTCAGTCCACTGGGGTAGAAAGGAAGGGTGCAGGGCATCTGGACCAGAGCAGCATCAGGAGGTCTTTGCCAAGTGCCCAGGAGGTAGCATCCTCTGGGTTGGCAATGCTGGAGAACACTCAGAGTTTGGTGCTCTCGTGCCTGCCCCTTCCAGGCAGCCAGCTCTGATTGCACAAAGCAGACGCGTGACCCCTCCAGCCAGCTATGCCCCTGCTGCCCAGCGCCATGCGCCTGGCAGGCCTGCTCTTCTGGGCAGGCCAGACAGTGAATGCCTTGAAGATGCCCAATGCTACCCTGCCCCTGGCCCGGCCCGAGAGCACAGCCTTGCGGACCCTGAGTGGCCTAGGAGTGCCCCGATACCGCCGGAAGCGCCACATCTCTGCCCGGGACATGAGTGCCTTACTGGATTATCACAACCACATCCGGGCCAGCGTGCACCCACCTGCTGCCAACATGGAGTACATGGTGAGTTCCCACGGCCTCCCGGGGGCCCCTTCCAGCAAAAGCCAGCTGACTCACCTTGGCTGGGAACGACCAGCTTTGAAGAGCTGGACCACTTGCCAGCCTAGCCCCACTCGTCAGAATTGGGGTGTCTAGGCCCCGTGGAAAGAGCAGGAATTAGTCTGCCCATTTTATAGTTACAGAGACTAATGAGATTGCACAGATCTTCCCATGAGTCAGGGGTAGGGCCACCGCTCACAGAGCACTTTTGTGCGCCAGGCACTGCGCATAACCTGGGTGTACTCCTCTTCCTTAAAGGTGAAGGGCATCTCCATTTTCCCAGTGAAGAAACTGAGACTCAGAGAATTAATTTGCCCAAAGTCACCCAGCCAGGATTCCAACCCAGTTCTGCCTGCTGCTAAGGTCGTGATCCCCACTGTGGACCTGCGGCAGGGGGCCGGGGGCAGAGTGGGGCGTTGCTGGGGGAGTGGCTGGTGCTTTCTGCGCTACTGTCTCCTTGCCCCAGGGCTGTGATCGACACCCCCAGAACATCCTCAGCTAGTCTGTGGAGGTGGGGTTTGGAGCAGAGGGGACAGGTACCCCTGACCTCAGGCTGAGGAAAACCAGCTGCTGAGCAGTGGAGGAAGCTGAGATGTCTTCCCGCACAGAGGCAGGGCTGGCGGCTCTCACACGGGGCCCCCAGAAGCCGGACTCTGGCCTGGAGGCAGGAACCTTCCGTCTTACTGCAGCTCCTCTCAGGACCACTGTCCCAAACCAGCCCGGAGAGCTGGCCTCTAGCCCACCCACAGACCTCTTTATGGAAAGAGCTTGCCAGTCCACTCCCCCAAAAGACAAATGGATGCTGCTCAACAGTCTGAAAACTCTTCTACTTTTGCGCCGTGTCTGTTGACTCACACTTGGAGCCGGGCACCAGGCTCAGCCTTGTGGTGACCGCCGAGGACAGGAGGACCAAGGCCCCTTCCCCCGTGGAGTTGGCTCTTTAGTGGGGGTGAGAGGAAACAAGCATATATAAAATATATCGTCAGGAGGAAATGAGGTGTTAGAAAGGGACAGGAGTAGGAGCTGGGATGGCAGGCAGGTAGAGGTAGAGTCGTTTATTTGTTCATTGACTGACTCACTCATTCATTCATTCACTAACACAGGACTGGCACCTAGAACACCCTCTATTTTTCAAGCAAATGGCACATTTATTGGGCACCACTTGGGTGTGCGTGGCACCTACCCTAACAGGTGTTTCATGATGACATGCAGCATGGAAACAGAGCCAGGTGTCTCACCAGGGACTCTGGGGAGGGTCTGATGTTTAGCTCCTTCCCTCAGTTTACCCCTTTGTGGTATGAGGGAAACATTGCTCTGCTCTCCCTGAGAGACTGTGAGTCACACAACCCTGGGGAGATGTCATGGTAGCCTCATGTCTTCTTCACTGCCTTCTGCCTACGGAACAGTATCTGACTAAACATCCCCAACTCCAGAAGCCTTTTCTCCCACAGCTCCAATAAAGTTTGGGTCCTGTCTCACATTCTTACACCCACCAGGGTCAAATGATGAATGACTTGTTTAATGCCTTGTGTCCTTGCTAGACGGAGAGTCCTCAGTGCCTAAAAACATTGTTTGGTATTTGCTGAATGAACAAATAATATCTCAGAGCATCCCAGACAGTCAGAGCTGGAAGGGAACTAGTATTTTATTAAGTGACACTCGTTCCAGTTATAAAGTTTGGGTAATTCATCCACTGGAAAATTATGAAGGGTGAGGAGGGTATTCACTGACTTGGAATAATCACCAAGATAAACTATTAATATCTTGTTAAGTGTGGACAGCAAGGTGCAGAATAGAATGCTGCCATTTGTCAAATTACACATAGACACACACACACACATACATGTGTCTATAAATGTCTGCTTATACAGGTATAGAATATTTCTGGAAGAGAATGCAAGAAACAGTGGCGATTGCCTCTGAGGGCAGGGGGCAGGGTGGCTGGAGGGATAAATGTAGGAGAGAGATTAGAGACTTTCCACTTTTCCTGCTTGGATATCTTATATATTAAATTTGTGCATGTTTTTACTATTAACAAAAGCTTTTGCTACCCAGGAGGCTGAGAAAGGAGGATCACTTGAGCCCAGGAGTTCGAGGCTGCAGTGAGCTGTGATTGCACCACCGTACTCCAGGCTGGGCAACTGAGTGAAACCCTGTCTCTAAAAGGAAGAAAAAAAAGCTTATGAATTAAAATTTTTTTAATGTTAAAATAAACACATTTAGAAAATACTACAAATACAATTTTAAAATTAGTTATTTTCCCATCACTCTGGGTTCGGTCACTTCCAGGGATTGCTGAGAATGCCTGGACAAATACCAGGCGACCCTGGTCAGAATCCGAGGGCCCCAGGCTTGAAGCCCAGTCAGCAAAAAAGGGCGCCAGACTCGGAGTCAGAGACCTGGGTGTAGATCTCGACTCTGTGCACTTGAGGATGACACTGAAGTCACAAGCCTTCTCCGAGCATCAGTCTTCTAATTTGTCAGGCGGGTTTGTTGCAGGGTTCCGAGGAGAAATGGAAGGAAGGCACCAGGTAAATGTGCATCTCTGGACGCTGCTGGGATGATGGCGGTTACTTCCCCGGGGCATTTCATGGCCTTTCTTCCTCCAGGTCTGGGACGAGCGGCTGGCCCGGTCTGCTGAGGCCTGGGCCACCCAGTGCATCTGGGCCCACGGGCCCTCACAGCTGATGAGATACGTGGGCCAGAACCTCTCCATCCACTCTGGCCGGTGAGTGACCCTCCGCCCTTCTTTCAGTCATTCAACAAACACAAATTGAGCACTTACTCGGTACTAGGTGCTACCCTTGGCAGTAGGATAGGGGGGAGAACAAGGCAGACAAGCTCCCTACCTGCAGGGAGCCTACTTTCTAGTTAGGAGAGACAGGCAGCACCTGGCTGAACAATTCAGTGCACAGACTGTTTCGGAGAGTGAGGAGTGGTTTGAGGCTCATGAGGCAGGATGAGGGGAGAGAGCCGCAGGGAGCAGAGTAGGGGGAGCAGGGTTTGGCGGATGGGGGCATCGGGCCCAAGGGTGCCCTGCCGGAGTCTGAGAATGGCAAAGCACTCCTCCTGCCTGACTTCCTCGCTACCATTCCTACTATTGAGTCAGAATCTGTGGACCTTCTGATCTGGGTGGCCTTGGAAAGTTATGTCCACTTTCTGAACCTTGGTGTCCTTGTCTGTAAAACAAAGGTGCTGTCCTAGCTCAGTTCTTTCCAGACTTGTGGATTTCATAGGCTGGTAAAATTTCAAAAAGATATTTATGAGACTGCCACAGATTGTCATATTTTTATTTTGCCAAATAAAGATGTTAGAAAAACACGTCCGCTCCCCTCCCCTCCTCGCCATTCTGCCACAGCCTCAGGAGAGTGGGAGAGGTGGGATTAAGGCCAGTCCTTTCCAATGAGCTCGATGGAGACTCGGGGCCCTGTCCGTGTTTTTCACGGCATCAACTGGTCAGGGCCAGTGTCAGTACCCGGGAGCCCCGCAGAGCAGACTTCAGGTGATTCAGTCCTTCCTCAAGTTCACTTCCCGGGTCCCCTGCCCTTAAACTCTTCCTGCCAGACCCCACCCCTACCCTATGGCCATCACTCGAGCGGCTCCCAGTGGAAAGAAAACGGTGTTAGGGGTAAAGATGTGCTGCTGGAACTTCTGAGTGTGAATTCCCCCAGAGCCCCCCCCGCCATGGGTTCTTTTGTATATTTGTGCCTCTGTCACATGTATGTGATAGAAAAAGCCCTCAGGTCTCACCAGATGGCTTCTCAGACTCCACCTGCCGGGCCGGGGTGGGGAACCTGCGGCCTTAAGGCCACATGTGGCCTTCTAGGTCTTTAAGTGTGGCCTTTTGACTGAATCCAAATATTACAGAACAAATCCTTTTATTGAAAGGGGTGCAACAGAGAAAGATGAAGCTTTTCTTGCCTACTTTGGTGCTTAAAAAAGAACAATCTTGAAATCAGAAGGCTGCAGGTTCCCCACCCCATGGTCCAGTGAGCCTCTCCTTCCCTACAACACAAGCTGCCCTGTCTTAGATGCCGACCTCACACGTGGCCCTTTGCATGACTTAGCAAGTGTGCTTTATTGAGCACTTACTATGTGCCAGGCACATGTGAGCACTTTCCATGGGTTATCTCAATTAATCTTCTGTTCAGAACATCCCTGTGAGGCGGGTGCTGCTGTCCTCATTCTCGTTTTATAGACGAGGAAACCAAGGGGAGGGAGGCAAAGTGACTCACCCAAGGTCCCCAACAGGCTGGTGGCAGAGCCACTTTTCCACTCTCCCA